AAGCACTGCCAAGCCTGGAGGCAAATCTGTGACCACCCGCAGCAAGCATACGGGCCTCTCTACCCGTGGCTCATGGAGGCAGCAAGCCCTGCAGCAAATCCCGCTCCTGCACTGGTCGTCTCTCCTGCTTTTGATTCACATGGTCTTACACAAACACTTTTAAGTCACTATCACTCCATTCTGAAACTCTGAAAATAAACAGGATAGAAAGCTTCCCACTCTTCTCCTGCTGGGCCCTGGGCACAGCTCCTGCCCCCAGCAGGCCCCCGAGGAGAGAGGGCTGGAGAACCCTTCCCCACCCACAGGTGCCAGGGCAGCGCCCTTGGTTCTGGTAACCCACAGTGGGGAATTGCCCCCAGTTCTGCCAGGAGCTCTCCAAGGTGCATGAAAGAGGCTGGGTCAGTTCAGTGTGTGTGTGCAGACATGGGACTGGGGCTTCGTGGGCACTGCGTCCAGGACTGTGGAGGCACCACTCTTGACCGCCCTCTTTGGTCTTTGAGACTTGGCCCCTCAGAGGACACATGCTGAGGTCATCCACCAAAGGCAGGAGATGCCCGAGGGCTTAATACTTGGCCATTTCTGAAAGCAAAGGAGTTCAGAAAGGGGCCAGGGAAAGTATGTGTGTGTGTCAGTGTGGGAGCTTGACCAGTCGGACAGGACCAGTGCCTCCCAAGAGGCAATTCTGTTCCAAGGAGAAGGGAAGGTTCCGGCTGTTTCAAGCTGTCCTAGGATGCATCCAGGCGACCCATTCTCCTGGCTTTATGCCTACCAATCCTGAACACCTCACTGTCCACAGCAGGAGAGGTCAGAAGGCTAAAAGGGGCCTCTTCTTGGGCTGGCAACCGCAGTTATTGAGAAATCTGCATGCCTGGGAACCACTGTGGCTTCCTCAACCACACATCCTGGCTGTGCAGGTTTGTGCAACATTCCAGAAGTGTGACAGTTATGGGGCCTAAGGTCCAACAACTCCACCCAGTGCCTCAAAGCTCCCAACTCAGGGTGGCTCTGCTGGCCCAACAAGGGTAACTAAAACCTTTCTTGAAGCCAAGGCTCAGGAAGGCTGGTTGTGTGGGTGCTGGTGTTGTGCACCTCCCCAGGAGAAGCCAAGAATGGAGATTCTCAGCAATAAGTGAGGTTCCTTCAGGGCCCTCCCCTGCCTGAGTACCTCTGGGCAGGTCCTGCAGGCACAGGGTGGCTGTATGGGCAGGAGAGAAGCAGCTCCTGGTAGAGCTAGCCCAATCCTAAAGACCAGCGCACACAGCCCGGGTTCATGCCATCTGGCAAAGAGCTCCTTCCCCAGAATGGAGTTTTCTGCAGAAGGATGGCCAGAAGGCAGCAAGTCTCCCCTGATAAGGAGGAGTCCACCAGCTATGAGAAGACGGAAGTTCAGAGGCAGGGTCCTGAGACTTCCCCTCCTGCTGCCCTTCTCAGTGCCCTTGGCTTGGCCTCCTCTAACAAGCTGCACCACCAAGGAGCCGATGGGCCCAGGCAGGCCGTGGTCTGCAGCCTCTATGAAACACGCCCTGGCCCCCACCATGGGTGAGCAACACCACAGGCCATTGGGGAGGGGAGCATAGGCCTCTAGAGCTCCTAGTTTAGCTGGGAGGGCATAGGTCACATGGAGACCAAGGCCAGCCCAGTGACAAAAGGCAAAAGCTCAGGGAGTGGGGCACACTGGCCAGGCGTGCGAGCTGCCCCATTACACCGACCCGAACCCCAGACCCGGAGCTTTCTGACCTTGGACCAGAACCTGGTAAGTTATTTTGCATTTCTGAACCTCAGTTTACTTCTTCACTGAGGTGAATAACAGGCTCCACATCCACAGGGTTGTCGGGAGGATTCGAGGAGAAAGTATGTGTCCTGGCCCAGTACTTGGCTGGCGCTCAGTTCCTGCTGCTGTCACTCAGAGGCTACATCCTGCCTGAGCCCAGGGGAGGCGGTGGGGCCTCTGGCCAGGGGCGGGGCAGGAGGCTTCAGAGAGGCCAGGCCTGGGCGGGTGTTTAAGTATGCGCCGTGCTGACCCCAGAGGCAGGGAGCTGCACCATTGCGACTGCACCTGTCCTTGCTAAGCTTTGTTCTAAATGGATTATTGTTTATTGGCGGCTTATTCCATCTCTTGGGTTATAAATTATTTACCAGATAATGACTTCATAATTGTTAATGACAGATGCCCCAAGGACATGCTGACGTGCCTTCTGAAGCCACAGTGCTAATTGTGGCCGAGTCCCAGAAGCCCCCATGTGGCCACATCCAGAGGGTCACTCCTAGGAACAGAGGCTGACTGGCCCTCGGGGATCAAACCCTCTTGTGATGTGGTCACAGGAACTGAGATCCAAAGAGGGGCAGGGATGGGCTTCCAGGCCCCAGAGCCAGCCCGTGGTAGCCCTGGGTTGGGCAAACCCCAGCGCCTCCCAGGGCCGTTGTCCACCTTCCGGGTCTAGGCTGCAGGGGCAGCTGTGGGCTGAGCAGGAATTCAGAATTCCTGAGCAGAAATTTGTCTTCAGAGGGCTGGGGGAATTAAGCGGGGCTGTGATGGGTGCTGAGAGATCCCCCCTGGCCTGAAGTGAGTAGGAGGGGCCCCAGGATTGTCCGCGGGTAGTGAGGATGCTGCCCAGTGGTTGTCTGAGGCCTGGGGCCTGTAGTGGCCCCAGGGAGCATGGGCCTTGGGAGGACAGGGAGAGGGCATTGCCCTCACTGCCCTGCAGCAGGCAGCTGTGAGGTGTTCTGCTGGGCACGGCTGGCCTTTGAGCATCCTGGGGAGCCACTTCTGGGCAAGGCCCACATGCCATGTGCTGATCCCATCACTGAGAGATTTCTTTGTGCCAGGCTTCGGGGAGGCCCCTGCTCTCAGGGGGTGCCCAGCCGTCTCCCACAGTGGACAAGGAAATAGCCAGTTGTCAGGCAACAGAAGGGAGCAGAGGGGCCGAGGGACCCCAGAGCACAGCCAGAGGCCGTGGAAGTTGACTTTTCCTACTCCTGCCTCCTTTTCAGTGTTGATTGTTGCTCGGCTCTGCAGAGAGCTCACCTGCCCCAGAGAGCTCTCAGTGGCAGCCGGGGGAGCCTTGAGCACCCTAGAAGGTAAAAGGACCACACTTGGCCCAACAAGAGCCAAATGGGTGTGGGGGAGAGGAACAGCATCAGGAAGTCAAGGAGAGGAAATTCCCATGGGTGGGGGGGGGGTGGCCAGGGAGCACATGGTCTCCCCAGGAGATGGTAGGGATGTGAGAGGCTCTCTTGGGAGATTCGGGCTTAGCACGAAGAGTGCCCTGCGGTGAGGTGCACACATGCCGGCACAAGGGTCCGTCTGGATGGGAGCAGAGGCTGTGTGTGTGTTTGCACATATGTGTGTTTATTGGGGTGAGGGTCATGGGAGGTGAGTCTGGCGAGCCAGCAGAGGTCAGACTCACTTTATCCGATTCACACAGTAGCGTGACTTAGCACATACCTGTGCAAGATGGCAGAGCACTTTGAGTGCATTTTAGAGAGCCTTGAATTGGTGCTAAATAAATAATCGCACTGTTTATTCTGGGACAGAGAGGCAGGATGCCTTTGGTATGTGCTAATGGGAGGGCGAGGTGCTCCGGCTGGCTGGCGGGCCTGCCTTGTGCGCATCCATAAGCGCCGATCTGAGAAGGGACCTGCGTAGACCGTCTCTGTGTCCTGACTTTCATTCCCCACTTTCAGTGCCTGCCTTTGTACCTGGAGAAGATGGGGCGGGTTGTTATCTCCTGCACTGTTACTAGGTTACTTTGTAAGAGCAGAAAAGTGCTTTTAATGATTTTTTTTTAGTTGTTGCTGCCTTACAAACCAGATGCTTTTATCTAAATGAGTTGCTACAAAAAAAAAAAAAAAACAACCACCACCCCACGACGGTTGCTAGGTTATGTCTGACTTATACAGGCAAGCTCAAACTCTGTGACTGAGGTGTCTAAATGTTCCCCCTTCTCATAGTGACCCTTTCACTGCCAAGTAAGAGTAAAAATATGTATTGGCAGCTGTAATCAATGCACCTCCTAGTGGCCTGGATGAAAGGACTCAGTGAGTAAGTGGAGGGGCCTCTAGCGTTTGATGGTAATTCTGTGTCCTGGTGAGTCGGTGACAGCCTGGGTCTGGCTGACCCATAGGTCATGGAGGGGTTAAGGTAGGAGGCACACCCAGGGGTGACCCACTCAGTTTTTTTCCCTGCATGAGTTTAGGTCTAGATTTAAGGCCCAGAGGATGACACATAACAGGTGCTCAACTAATGTTTGTGGAAGATGAGCAGGTACATGGCGGACACTTCATTATAAGGAGTGGCAGTTGACATGGGGGCAGGAGGGCCTCTGGATTAGGAAGCAGGACTCATTAGCCTTCTCTGGGCCTCTGCTTAATGCTTAGCATAGGAATGACAATAATCCCTCCCTGTCTACCCCCTAGGGTCCCCCTATGACCAAGGAGAGGGGTTAAGTGAAAACACTTCGCAAACTAAAAGCGGTAGGTCATGGGCGGAGGTATGATAGTCCCGTGACAGCCTTGCACATGCCAACAAATCGGGGTTGTGTCCGTGGCTGCCTGGAGCCTGAGGCTGCCAAAAGTCTCTGTTTTGGGGTCAGGGTGTGCACTGGGAGCCTGGTGGTGAGAGTATTCTGAGAGCCTTCAGCAGTTGTCTCCATTATCTGAGAGGGCGACTTCAGGGGTTTAGCATGGCATTCGATGCCCATGGCCAAGAGAGAGTCATCTTTCCAGCCACATATCCCAACTCACCTCTCGGAAGCCTGTGGATTGGACCCGACTAAGTTGGATTAGTTGCTGCGTTACTCTCATCCTCTTAAATGTGAGCTCTGGGTCAGGGATTTTGTCTCCTATGATCACTATTATAATCCCAGTGCCTAGAACAATGCCTGGCATCCAGCAGGTGTCCAAGAAATACTTGTTGAGTGAATGAGTTGTTCTCCATAGCACTTTGTATAAATTCCTATTGTTACATTTATTGTATCTCATTAAAAAATGTATTTACTTACTGGTATCCACTGGACTGCAAGCTCCTCAGGGACAGGGCTTTTGGTCTGACCTCTCTGGATGGGGCGAGAATGATATACAATTGGTTGCTAGTAAGTGCTTGAGGGAACGAGGAATGAATGAGTGATGTTGAAAAACCCTTTTGTTTTACCAGGTGCTGAGCATTCCTCCTCCAGCCCCAGTGCTCCTGACTATCTGTCCTGCTGGGAGATGGGGAAGGGGAGAGAGGGAACTTGTGATTAGAAGACAAAAGCTTAAAAAGTTCTTTTTAGCAGCCTGTGAGTGTATGAGATCATCAAAAAGGGACAAAAGCCCACACATTTAGGAGCACCCTCAAACAGTTGCCAGGCAGATGTAGGCACGGCATTCCCCCTGAGCAGGACCCCGAAAGGGCCACCACTAGACTATTTGGCATTCTTGTGCAAATTAGAAAGAGGAATCCTCTCTCTGAGCACTCACAGTGCACAGCAAAACTTGCAGAACGCAGGCTGGGTGTCAGCTCCCATGACCTCTGGGTCAGGTGCCTTCCTGTAGGGCACAAACTCACAATGTTCCCAGCAGCCCTGGCTGTGGGGCATGTTCAAGGTAAGGAAGGAGACAGGTCGCTTGGAAAATCAAACTTGGCCACAAAAATAAACTCTGAGGTTTGCAGATAAGCTATTTCTAGCCCAGGTGCCAAATGAGGTTTTGCAGCTAAAACGATCTGCTGTATGGGTCCTCCCACCCCCCACTCCCCAGCCCCCTTAGCTAAGTGGAACTGCCCCTGTTTAAGCTATTCCTGAACAACTCTGCATCCAAGATTGGGTAAAGAGTCCACCCCTGGGGCATCTCTTTCCTTTGGCAGATGATTTCAGCTTGTTGTTTGGTGTAGGACTGAGTCTTGCAGACCAAGGTGGGCGGATAAGGGTGGTACAGTCACTTTCCTGGGCACAGTGGTGCTTTGGTGGGCTACATCTGTCAGTGTTTTCCATGCCCCAATCCTGTGTCAGCACACAGACACTGAATTGACGCAGCATGTGCCTTGGAGAGCTCCTGGCAGAACTGGGGCAATTCCCCACTGTGGGTTACCAGAACTGAGGGCACTGCCCCGGCACCTGTGGGTGGGGAAGGGTTCCCCAGCCCTCTCTCCTTGGGGGCCTGCTGGGGGCAGGAGCTGTGCCCAGGGCCCAGCCAGAGAAAAGCAGGAAGCTTCCTATCCTATTTTAGAGTTCCAGAAATGAGTGATAGTGACTTAAAAGGGTCTGTGTAAGACCATGTGAATCAAAAGCAGGTGAGACGACCAGTGCGGGAGCAGGATTTGGTGCAGGGCATGCCGCCACCGTGAGTCACGGGTAGAGAGGCCCGTATGCTTGCTGTGGGTGGTCACAGATTTGCTTCTAGGCACCTTGGCTTCCTGCTGGAATTGCCTGGGGAGCTTCACAAAAGTATTAATGCCTGGGTCCCATCCTGAGAGATTTTGATCTAACTTGTGTGAACAGCCTGGATATCAGAATTTTTAACGTTTCCCTAGGTGATTTTAATATGCAGCCAAGGATGAGTGCCACTGTTCAGACTTGGAAGAGGCAAAGAAGCTGGTCTGCTACAGGATTCAATGTGAGATACACTGGCAATGGCTCCAGAGAAGAATATGTGTGTGCTGAGAGGGTCCCAGCCAGGGGGTCACAGTGACAGAATAAACATTAACTGCCACAAATTCTAAATGTGGGCACATCGATATGATCTACAGTAAAAAAAGATCTAACAGCCTATACAGTTCCCATAAAAGCACTTTGAGATGGGGGTGACATGAACAGGGGTGACAGTGTGACATTGCAAAGGTACCCAGTTTCTGATGGCTTGATCCAGGCAGTAGATTTTAGAACATCTGAAAGAGTAGAGAAATTGTATATCACCAAGAATTTAGTTTTGCCAGATCTCTATAACTTCCATTTCAATTTCTCAGGGCTTAGAATCCAGGAATTTAGTAACACCTTTGAGTTGATAGTGCTTAAGGCTTTACAATACTCTGATGTCCGTCCTCATAAGAACAATTAAATTAGAAGGTCTGGGGCAAGGATCCAGACGTCTGTATTTTTAAAGTCCTCCAGATGAATCTAGTGTTCCCTGAGGGCAGCTGAGCACTGCTGGCCCAGGTGTGCCATCTTCTCTCCAAACCTGTCTTCTTCTTCTGGGAGGGAGGAAGGTCAGGGGTTATTCTCAATTTAAGGCTGAGGAGATGGAGGCTCAGAAATCTGCAGGGGGCTGGCCCAGAGTTAGTGGGATGAGGTCCAGAGGCCTGCCTCCCCCGTCGAGGGTGCCGTCCACCACACTGCCTGTGAGGTCTCTGCATCCTGTGATCTCTGAACTGAATAAGATCTTCTGATCACAAAGAGATAAGAGAATGGTCCCTGTCCTCGAGGAGCTCATGGTCCAGGAAGGAAGGTGAGAAGCTCAAGGCAAAGGAGATAGAGATTCACAGCCAAGGGTGGGGCGAGCAGTGAGGCATCCCAGCTACAGGGCAGCTTTGTTTGGCCAGGCTGAGCCTGAAATGCAAACCAGCAGGTTGGTAATGGATTCTCAGGACTCTGGAAAAGTTTTCGGGACCTTAGGACAGAGGCGTCCCTGAGAATCGAGCCTGGGGGACAGCTGAAGCAGAGGTCTGAGAGGGATTGCTGAGAGACAGAAAAGCTGAGGATGAGCTTGTGACACAAACGCCCTCATTACAGCAAGAGTGAGGTGGGGCTGGAGAACCCAAGGCAGCAAGGCTGTGGGGAGCCCAAGGGAGTGAAGGCTGAGGACAGGGTCAGCGAGGGCACCTTTGGGGTGCTCTGCTGGACGTAGCCCCTGTGAGTGTGCAAGTCCAGGCCAGTGCACAGTGTTCTGGGGGAACAGTTCCAGGTTCCATGAGCTCTGGAGGTATCTGCAAGGTTCCCCCAGGATGCAGGGCACGCAGGGAGCAAGGGGCCCAGATGGGCAGTACGGAGTCCCAGGGATGGAGGCTGGGGATGCGGCCCAGGGCGACCCAGCATTGATGGGGGTGGCGTGTGCCCTTCATCACCTCCAAAGCTTAGGTTAATGCTGTTCTTGGCTCAGCCTTTGGTTCTGCACCAACCAGGGCCTCAGCGTTACCTCCCCTGGGCCCCATCGCAGCCAGGGTCACACACTGCAGTGCAGGCATCTGATTTCACCCCTGCCAGCTGGTTCTGGCCCCATGCTCTTGGTTGTGCTGGTGATTTTCATCAGACCTCTGAGAAGCAGCCCTCCACAATCTAAATCTGGGTGGGCCCTGTTCGTAGCAGGATACACAGCCCAGTGACCTGGCCCAGTTTCCACAGGAAAGTGATAGCTTCTCCCACCAGGGGCCATAGCGGGCTGTGAAACCCTCCTATCTTCTTGGGAATCCAAGGGAGTCCTGCACGTGAGGGAAATGCATACCCAGCCCCAGGCCATGTGCTGAGTGGCTATGTGCCCAGATGCGTTTACCAAAAGCCCCAGAGGGCGCTGGTGGGTGTTGTGGGAAGAAATACAGAGGTGGATCAGGTGTGACCCCACCCTCTCAGAACTGGCAAGGTGGGAGGGGAGACTGGCATGAGTTCACGGGCGGAGGTGGGGGGATATACCACCCTGGGGGTACAGGGATTTGAAGCCCACAGAGGGTGTATCCTATCAGGTGTGCCTGGTGAGATTAACTTCAAGGTCCCTCCCTATCCTAAAACACACAGTTCTTGAAGGTTGGGATGACTGAAGAGCTACGCGCCACCCTGTGTCGGTGGTAGGGAATAGGAGACCACAAAATAAGAGCCATCAGACCCACTGCCCTCCAGTGTCGCTATCCCCTCCACCCCCCACCATGCTCACCGTGTCTAAAACCTGAAGACAGATACTAGAAAAGCTGACTTCTGTGAAGAGCACCTCCTGAATCTTTGCTCAGACCCTTAACTCCACCTCTGCCCCCTCTAGGAGCTGGAATGCCAGGCACCAGATCCCAGCTTAACTGTCTAGTTTTCCAACTCCCCACCTCTGAGCCAGCAGCTACGGTAGCACAGCACTGCCTAGTGCCTGGGAGACCACCGGACAGCTGTCCCGCTGGCCAGTGATGCCATGAGGCATGTGGCAACAGCCCACCTGTCTTCAATGTCAGGACCTCCTCCGTGTCCACTGGCCACCCCACTGGGCTGCTGTGTGGTAGCAGGATGCAGCGCACAGTGGACCTTTCTCCCATTTCGGCAGCTGATGCAGGCCCAGCATAGAGCCTCGTCCTGCTTCCTGCTGGCAATCATATTTACCACACCTTGCGATCCCAGAGCTGCATGTTCTTCTCTCTGAGCAAGGGTTCTGGCACCAGGGCCATCCCCAGTTCCATTGTCTCTGGGTCCACAGAGAAAGCTCTTTGACCAGCAGAGAATATGGACCTTGTTGGTCTGCTGCCCTGGCCCCCAATGCAGAAAAAAAATGGAGTTCAGGCTGCAAGCTGGCCCTAGGCAGAGGCTATGAGGCACCAGCACACAGTGCTGCTAGAAAGACAGCAGTCTTGGGGCTGCTGTGGCCTGTGCTCATCCAGCAGCAGGCCTTGTGGGTAATACAGAGGAGGCTTCAACCCATGGACTTCTAAAGGCCCACGTGTCACCAAGACATGCCAGGCTGGGCCAGCTCAGCTTCAACTGTCCTGAATCCCAGTGTCCACACCTCCACCGTCCAACCTTCATTCCAGGTCCAGGCCCCTGACCCCTGACCCCTGAGCAACAGCAAATGATTAAGTGAGTAAATGAAGGGTGAGTGTGGGCCGCTCCAGCTCTGGGCTCCCCTGCTTCTGCAGGCACGGTCCTGGCCTGCTGGGTGGGTGTTGAAGCAACCTTGCAGATTCTCTTCATCAGATTTCTGCCCTCACAAGGTAGCCCAGGTTCCCTCAACTCTCTGGGCTGCCTGTGCTTCATAATCTGGGTTTAAGAATCTGGAATCAAAATTTTAGGCCAGACCTCTATAGATTTAATCCAAGGAAATAATCAAATGACTGTGCAAAGATATATACACAAAAATGTACCTTGTGGTATTATTTGTAAGAGTGAAATATTAAAATACACCAAGTATCCATCATTACATCACTGGTTAAGTAAATTGTGTAGATTATTATATGTAGGTGATATAAAGCCTTTAAAAATGCTATGGATTTATATTTGCTGATGAAAAAAGGTACCTGTGATAGTCTGTGAAGTCAGAATAGCACCACTAAGCAGTGTGTGATCCCATGTGTGCATGTGTGTGTGCACACTTTATATATGTACATAGGAAAAAAGCCTGGAAAGAGACACGAAAATGGTTACCTTTGGGGATTATGATTATAAGTAATTTATATAATTTTAGGAGCTATCATTTAAAATATGTTTAAAATGAGCAAATAATATTTTAATGATATTTAGCAACAATTTCAATAATAAAGTCAAATTACAAAAGAATTGTAGTTTGGGAGGGCTTAAAGGTCACCTAGCTGCTGGCTGCCCTCAGTTCTAACCTCCTGGGGAACCCGAGACCCATGTAGGTGATGAAGAGTTAGAGCGGTGCTCGAGGGTTCCCTCCAGGAAGATTAGGGCCCAGGCAGCTTAGCTAGGTTCTGGGTACCAGTTAATCTGACATTTATGTAAAAATCTCACTGACCAAAAAGGCAGAGACCAGCTCCATATTCCTCACTCCCCCCCAGGAAATCAGTGTTAGAGAAGAGAGATGGCTGTGCCCAGGTCTGATGCCTTCCCTACCTCCAGGTGAGCTGAGCAGAGACCTACCTTCCGCTGTCCGTCTCTGGCAAGCTCTGGATTCGTCCCCAGGATGCAAAAGTCTCGGTGGCCACCAACACTTAGCACCGCCTGAGCATCACCAGGCCAGACAGTCTACAAAGAGAGGGGAGAAGGATGGGTGTGGGGTGGGGCAAAGATATCATCTTTTGAAAAGAGATCTCTTTAGAATTCCAGTATCACATAGATGGTCCCTGCCATCCTATGGGGATGGAAGCTTGTCCCTCTGGGATTTCCAACTGCAGAGGATCTCACAGAGATGTGCCCGAACTCTGCCATGACACTCCCGGATAAGAAGGCCAAGCAGGCAGCAGAGAACCCGAGTGGCACATGCTAGACATCCCTCCCATCCCCCAAACACAAAGCCCTGATCCCCGTGGAGGAGCCATTAACAGGGTATAAGCGAGAGAATAACGGCATAACGGCATTGCCTTCCATCGCATCCAAATCAAGAAACCTCACAGACAGGGAGAAATAAGAGATTTAAGTCTTTCATCTAACGCTGAAAAGAGAACACGACACAGTCTCAAATTACAAAAACAAATCATTACTTCTCTTAGACAATGGGCAAGGCGACCTTGAGGAGGCAAAGGATGGGTTCCCTGGAGAGAATTTCTTCAAAAACATATAGATTTAATATCAAGTAGAAAGAGGCTATTTATTAGGGGGAGGCAGGGCTACTCTGAGTTCCCTCTCTCAAATGTTATCTACGTGAAAGCCAAGCCATCTTCATGACAAGAAATGGCATCCTCCATGGCAAAAACACATGACTGTCGTTCCCTGGGAATCAATATATTTTTCTAAACTGAATATATCATTATCAATTGATTTTTCTTTTTCCTCTTAGCACTCCAGTCCCAGACAGCAGGGGAAAGCATTAATGTGCTATGAAGGATTTGGACAGGCAAATAAGTTTCTGTAAACGAATTCCACCTTCTGACGTGCATCTCTCCGACGATGCAGTGGGTCTTTCTCAGCGCTTTTCAGCTGCCACTGACGGAGACACACATGAGCCATATCAAATGGCCATTTAAAGCTGAACGGGGCAAAAATATTATTTTTCCCAAGGATGGAGTGTTCCCTTTATGATTAAGAAATAACCTCTCTGGGGAAGCAAAATGAGCCAAGGTCACCATTTAATTTTGACAGAGAGCCAAAGTCGTGAGTACATTTCCTTTCCTGAGCCTATGTGAAGCGTGTGGGTAAATCGACCCCTTTGGCCACACGTATTGATGATAATAAACGATCAATGTATTTCTGGGAAAGATCCTGGGCAGAAAAGTGTTGGTGAAAAGAGAGGTGAAAGAGACAGCAGTAAGATCAGTTTTAGATTCTTGAGAGTCTCATTCATTCATTTATCCATCCATCCATTCATTCATTCATTTACTAAATATTTACTGAGGGCCCGCTATGTACCAGGCAGGGTTCTATGCACTTGGAATACGAGTGAACAAAACAAAACAAAAAATTCCTGCCCTCATGAAGCTCATCTTCCAGTGAGTAGAAACAGAATAAACAGTACACTTAAAAGAAATATGTACAAACTGAATAGTATATTAAATGGTAGCCAGTGCTGTTTATTAGAGAAGAAATAGAGTGGAAGGTGTGTGTGGGGTTGAGGTAGAGTTTATGGAAGGTGGTCAGGTCATGAGGAGATGACAGTGAGCATGCGAGACGGTGATGAGGGGGTGGGCTGTGCGGCTGTGGGGTGGGGAGGGCATTCCGGGCAAGGGAAGAGCCCCTGCAAAGAGCCAGTTCCCTGGGGTGGGGAGCATGACTATTCCTGGCCCGGCAAGGAGCCCACTGTGGCTGGACAGTGGGAGGCTAAGAGGACAGTGAGCCAGAGAGCCGAGTATGCAGATCATGTGAGGCCTGGAAGTCCACTGCAAAGGCGACTGATTGGGAAACAAGGGCCCTGGTCACCAAGCTTTAGGAGCACCCATTCTCCTGAGACAAACCTCTCTGAGGCCAGCGTCAGGCTGATCTGCTTCCCTCCTCTCCAACCCAGATGGCTCGACTCCCTAGGCTGTGCCAGATGAATACGGCACAGGCCAGACAGGCGCTCAGAGGGGCAGCGGAGGCAGGCGAGCACCAGGGCTGCCTAACCAGCTCTGATGCCAAGGGCCTCATCCTCCCTCCTCTGTGGTCCCCAGAGGCCACTTCTAGAGGAGATGACTAAAACTAAGTCCAAACAAAAATAAACACATGGAAAGTTGAGCTCTTTAGGACTTTCCTCTAATGTGTTTAGGAAAAGATCCTCACATGAGCTGAGAAGTTAGGTGTCACAGGCTGTGCTGGGCATCTTCTCTCTTCCTCCAGCTCCCCTTCCACCCTGTTCTGTGCCCTGGGGAGGCTCCCCTGATGTGCATGGAGGGCATCCCTGGGGCTCTGAGGCCCTGGGACTTCCTATTAGGTCCAGCCAATGCAGACATTGGCAGGAGATGTGGGATTGGGATGGAGTCAGGTGTTTATTCTCCTACTTCCCTTCCTCCTTGCAGTGTCTTTCTGGGCTGCCTCTGACCCTCAACTGGAGGTCATGGCTCTGGCTGGCGTGGGGACAGGGTCCCACATAGCTCTCTCTCTGGTTCCAGGAATGGTTCCCTCCCCTTGCCTGTAGGGGTAGAGGTGGTAGTTACCCTCCCCCACCAGCAGCCCTAGGGTATTGTCCTGCTCTGGGCCCTTCATACTGGGCCTATACCTTTGGAAATATTCCTTTCATTGAACTCTCTTCAAATTATGCATTTGAATGTATCTATTTTCTGGATATATTCTAAGACAGTTAAAAGGAGGACTTTGGAATCAGACATCTGAATTAGAATTCTAACACTGCCCTTTGGTTTTGTGACACAGGCTAAGTCATCTAATTCTGATGAGCCTTCAATTCCCATTCTCAAAACTAGAGAAATCGTATGTAATTATCACCCTCACCCTCACCCTCACCCGCAGCAGCACCATGTCAGTATCGCTACCACCCACTCAAAGTCCCAGGGTGAACAGACCCCCTGTATGGTCTTTGCTACCCCAACCAGAAAATCCTCCCTTGAGGGTTTCTACTGTTCTTACCTCATATTTGGCATTAGTTTATATCTCAGTAATTTCATTTATTTCCTCTTCTTGCTTTTCTTTCTTCTACCCAATCACCACTCCTTACAGTCAAATCCTGGGCATCCTGAGAACATTACCTTCATGTTTGAATCTGACCCCCGGCACCCGTCACATGGTTGTGTATAACAGACTCTTCATTCATTATATTCTTCTTAGATACATTCATGCACCTAAACACATTCTACTTGGAGATGCATGGTATTTAAAGTGATCTTAAAATAAATTGCTAGAAACCCATTTCTAGTAATAATTTTGTTCCCAGGTTAACACTGTAAAACATTAAGTTTCCAAAGATTATGACCTGGGAAGATGAATCTCAGGAGTGAACCTGGGAAATCAGAGGGAGAGGAGTAGGATTTCCTGTGTCCAGGTGAGACGAAGGCACCACTGCAGGACTTGACGCTGGTCAGTCTGACCCTTTCTCTTCCACTAATTTCATCATGAAAGGGCAGCTTCCAGGCTTAAGGAAAATAACATTGAAAGGCCACAGGATGAAGAACTTTTTTACTTTAAAAAATGCAATAGGTAATAAGTGAAAGGGGTCTCACGTCCTTCACTTTCTCAAGGCACTTAAGTTAGTCAGAATGGCTAGTATCAAAAAAACAAGAAATAAACAAGTGTCAGCAAGGATGTGGAGAAATGAAACCTTCCTACACTGCTGGTAGGAATGTAAATAGGTGCAACCACTATGGAAAACAGTACGGACGTTCCTCAAAAAAATTAACAAGAGAAATACCATATGACCCAGTAACTCCACTTATGGGAATTTACCCAAAGAAAATGAAATCCCTAATTCTAAAAGATATATGTACCCATCTTTATTGCAGCATTATTTACAATAGCTGAGATATGGAAGCAACCTAAGTGTCCACTGATAAACAAATGGGTAAAGAATGCATATAAATATCAATAATATAAGTTATATATAATGGATAAAGGTACATGTATACAATGGAATATTACTCAGCCATGAAAAAGAATGAAATCAGGACATTTGCAACAACATGGATGGGCCTAGAAGATACTATGTTAAGTGAAATAAGCCAGACAGAGAATGACAAATACTATATGATTTCACTTAAATATGGAATCTAAAAAAGCAAAACACATGAACAGACAAACAAAACAGAAATAAACTCATAAATACAGAGAATTGCTGGTTGCCATAGAGGAGGGGGCTGGGAGAAGGGCAAAATAAGTGAAGGGGATAAAGAGGCACAAACTTCCAATTATAAAATAAGTAAATCTCTGGGGATGAAAAGTACAACATAGGGAATATAGTCCATAATACTGTATAACTTGGTACACTACACTTATCATGGTGAGCATTTTGTAATGTACATAATTATTGAAACACTATGTTGTACACTTGAAACCAATATAATACTGTATGTAAACGATACTTCAATAAAAAAAAGAGATGCTAATTGGGGTCAACAGGGCATAACGGACAATATGAAAACAAGGCCCTTGAATGGGTGGCCCTTTGGGTTAAAAACTGCCTAAATACTGGAGAACTACAAGATTAAACTCAAAGAAATTTTTGAAACCCTTTCTAACTCAAAGTCTATAAATAAAGATGGTTCCTGATATGAACCAAATTGATAGCCAAGAGAATTATAAACAAGGGCCCCAGGATTTTTTACTTCCCTATAAAAGATACCAATATTTTGGAGAGAAACTGCCATAAGAGAGGAGAAACCAATTAGGCATCTCCCGTCTGCTGCAGGATCAGAGAGCTGCCCTGCCTGGGTCTTGACCATGCTACCCAATTATGGCTCTAGCACCTAGGTAGCTCACCACCCCTCAGCCAACTGGGAAAAGAAGATTCTTTCTTCCTGGGAAGAAAAAAGCAAAGGAATTGGAGGTTATAAACTATAGCAAGAAAACCAGCTCCCACACCTGCCTTTCTGCCAGCCTAGGTGCAGGACCCCACTGCACCTCGGGCCCAGGGCTGGGACATCTACCCTGGAAGCATCCTGCACAGGGAG